GCCGGGAGGGGGCGAGGAGCTCCGGGCCGCCTCCTCTTGGCCGCTGCGTTCTTGTGGTGCCCGCCGTGGCCGTCCGCCTCGTCTCCGCTCTGCCGAAGACCGGGCTGGTGCTGGAGGGGATGATGGGTCTGACCCGGGCGGTGTGGGCCTCTGTGCCTCCCTCGCCTCTCTGAGCAAGCTGCGGGTGGTGCTATCCCCGCTTCTCAGCCCTGGGAACTTGTAACATGTCCGGCAAGTTTAGTGCGCGTTCGGTGGAAGAATAACGATCCAAAGATGCTCGCTTCCTATGAGCTGAAGGAAGCTGCACCCCCAGAGAGGGTCGAGGAGGAGATAAATGTGCTTTTTTTTTGAGGAGTTCAGGCCTTCCAGACGTCAGGAATGCTGTCTGAGGATGTGGATCTGCAGGAGAGCAGCTCTGTCTTCAGGGAACAACCTGGGTACCCTGGGTCTGGTTTGTGTGAAAGCCAGGGATGATGTGGGGAGACAGCAGTGAGTGAAGTCTCATCTTCCTGTTCATGTGTCTATAATAATAGCCAGGGATCGGAAGGAATTTAGCACTGGAAGGTGATGGACTTGCTGCTGATATTTTGTTGTTTTCTGCTTGGATGCACATTTGTATCCTGGTGCCTTGTGTGGCTGTTCTAATCTACCTTCCTGTTCCATTGCTCCCTGTGCTGATGCTGACTTCTTGTTGCTCTTTCATGAGTTGCTAACACCTTTTCCCAGCTTCTTTTATGCTTATTTGGAGCCCAGTTCAAGATTCTTCTGGTCTGGCAAACAGTCACTGGACTTCTGTGCTCTTTCTTCAGCTGGTGCCTCTCTGCTCTCTTGCTGTAACTGGGTGGGTCCTGTCCCTGGCTGGACACAGTAGTACAAAGAGCTAGTCAAGAGGTTTAGATGTAGAGGCATCTGGTTGGAGGGAAAGACTCTTAACACATTTTGTTCTGTTGTCTTGCTGATGCTGCTTCTGAACTAAGGTCAGCTCCGGACTGTGCAGTTTCCAAAGAACATGAACTTTGTCCAGAGTTGAGTTTGTCCTGCTGATATCCAGGCTGTCCTGGTCTTGTGAGCTATGGTGGCCAGAGTGCGCAGCTTTGTGCTCTGTGCTGGAAGCTTGTGGTGACTTTAATGTTGATGGTGTCTGCACCGCTGTGCTATGCAACTGCGTTGAGAGAGACAGTGCCTGGAAGGACGCAGTCTCTTCCTCTTTGGCAGTGTAGTTCCCTGTGTTCTTTCCATGTTCCTCAAACTTTTTTCTATATAGCTGCAGCTCTATAGCTGTTTGTTTGCTCTTGGGAAGCAGAGTGCAGCCTATGAAATGCCTGTAAAGGCACTCGTTGCTGGGATAATAGTTTCCCTGCTAGGGATTCAGACTCTTGTCTTTGGGGTTGTTATGTGGACTCATTGCTCACCCTGAGGCATTTCCCTGGTCCAAGAGGCTGCTTTGGCAATGAAGGTAGGTTTATTGTGGAGTGTGGTGTAAAATCTCTGCTTTAAAGCAAACTGGCTCTTTCTTTTTAGTTGGTGTCTACCTTCTGCCACAAAACTTCCTCATTGGAGCGGATGGAGGAGGAAGGTGATGATGATGAGGATGATGAATTGGACATCTTTGGGGGTTATGACAGCTTCCGGGGCTACAACAGCAGCATGGGCAGTGACAGCAGCTCCTGTCTGGATGAGTCTAGTGACGATGAGGTGGCAGACCGGGAAGCTGGAGAACTTCCGACCTCTCCTGTGCACCAGCTGTCCACAGGCCGGCTCACAGAGGACAGCGGCTCCGAGCCAGGTACTGCACTGCCTGCCAGTTCTACCTAAAGCACATGCATGAGGAGAAGAACAAGGGCTGGGGGAAGCCAAAGGGTGCATGACTGCATCTTGAGGAGGCTTCAGGAGCAGCCATGGATTGTGACTGCATTTTCTGGGCTACATGAGGGTGCTGCTATGTGTAATGAGGGCTACCTGGGCTCGGCTTTGTCCTTGTAGTGTATTGACCCTGACAACTGCTCATGTTTTTGTGCCTTCCTTCTCAGCTGTGTGTGAAATGTGTGGGATTGTGGGTACCAGGGAGGCTTTCTTTTCCAAGACCAAACGTTTCTGCAGTGTCTCCTGCTCCAGAAGCTACTCCTCAAACTCCAAAAAGGCCAGCATCCTGGCTAGACTGCAGGTAAGTCAAAACCCTTCCTTCTTTACTAAGGATGGAGTAGAATGTGCCTGTATGCAGGGGTGGGTGGTTGTTCTCTAGTTAAAGATTAGACTGCCATGACCAGTGGCTTGTTCTTCCTGCCTGAAGTCCCCAGAAAAAGCATGCCTGCTTCTTCCTAGAAGCTGGGGAAGAGCACAGTTATATTTCACCTGCTGTTTCTTCTTATTCCTGTGAGCATTAGTGAAAATGCTGAAACCTGAAAATCACCCCAAGGAAGAGATGCATGCACTGCTGGCCAGTTGCAGGGCCTGGCTTCCTCTCCTCTCCTGTGCCCCTGATGTTCCCAATGTTGCTTCTTTTGTAGGGGAAACCGCCAACGAAGAAAGCTAAAGTTCTGCACAAGGCAGCCTGGTCAGCCAAGATCGGGGCCTTTCTCCATTCTCAGGGCACAGGGCAGCTGGCAGATGGGACACTGACAGGCCAGGATGGTGAGTGTAGCTGAGGTGTGTGGAGGTGCAGGTGCTGGAGCCACAGAAATGGGAACACCTGGAGGGCTGTAAGCTCTCTAGTCCTCTTCTTCACCTCTGGTACATTGCCTTTTACTGAAGTACTGTGGGTTACTCTGATACAGGCTGGCAGGACACAGGGCACATCTCTTTCACTCTCTCTGCCAGTGCTAACGGAGCCCTGGTGGGTTCCTGCCCATCCGCTATTGCAGCCTCATACTCGCACCTTGGACTGAAGTATAAGCTCTCTAGTCACAGTCTCACGATGTAGTTACAAAGCTCACTTAAAGCTGCTCTGCTCTCAGCCGTTCGCTGCCTCACTGCCTGTGGGGAGTTATAGTTAAGCAGAGTCATTCACTGATCAACTTGAGGAACAGCCAGTCGCTGCTGCTGAAGGAGTGGCAAGCTGCTGTCTTAGGGCAAGAGTGAGCCTCAGGGGGGGGCAGCAGGAATTGATCCCTGAGCAGACCGCTGCTGGAGCGGAGCTGTAGCCTTGGATCAGGAGTGACTGTGGGATTAATATCTCAGTGCTTCACTCTGATTTTCCCAGCACCCTCTGAGGAAGCAAGCGCTGCTGGTATGGTCCTACAGTGTTGCTGCTGAGAGGCAAAGCTGTTAAGTGGCTTAGCGCTGACAGGATTCAATCTCTACTCTCCCCAGAGTGCTTGAGCCCTGGGCTGGATTTGAACCCTTTTCTTGCCCCTCCTGCCCCCCCTTTCCCAAAAGCAAGTAGCAGCAAGGATTGATTAATAATATACTGTGCCTCTTGCGGGGGCTGGTCCCCGTGCATTCGTAGGATCTAGTTCCCCACCAGGGAAAATGCACTGGAATGCAGAGTCGCTGTGTCCTGGGGCAGAGGGCTCTGTCCCAGAGCAGGCCACAGTGTGGCTGCAAGCTGCAGGTCAAAGGTAACTGAGCGCTCTGTGCCTTTTTTGTAACCTCACCTGATTTTCTGCTCTCATGTCTGTTTATAGCACTCGTCCTGGGCTTTGACTGGGGAAAGTACCTGCAGGAGCACGGCTTCAAGGCAGCTCCTGTCAGCTGCTTCAAACACGTGAGTTCATCTTTGCTGTGCCTCGCGGTGCGCATGGGACATGCCGTATGCATGGGGCTCCTCTGTACTCCTGGGACAAGCGGTGGGGAGAGACCTGGGGAGCTGGTTCTTAAGCCTCAACTGATGCAAGAAAAGAAGTTGGGGCTTCTCACAGCTAAGAATGGGAGTTCCACAGAGGTACCAGGAGTTTTGGGGGAGGAAGCAGAGGGGGACTTGGTAGAAGCACTGCCGGTGGTGATGGCCCAATGCTGGCTGGGGACAGAATTAGTTCTGGGTTGGGGGGATAGCAGAAAGCTCCTGGTTGCCTTTGCAATTTATGTGGGTGAACACAGCCCAGGGTGATGTTCAGGGAGGAACTCAGCTTATGTGGGCCTGGCAGTAGCTGCCTCTCCAGCATGTCTGTTTCCTATCATACTGATTTGCAATCCTTGTGGGCCAAGTGGCCAAGTAACCAAGGCAGATCCATGGAAGAATGGCAGTTCCAGCCTTTCTGTGTATTAAGACTCTTTATGTTCCTTTTGAGTTGGGATCTGTGATAACACTAACAAGTTTCTGTTTTTATTGAGGATGGGTCAGGAAGACACAGCAGTTTGATGGTTAGGGATTTTGATACCATAGAGTAATGGCAGCAGCTAGTTTGGGATAATAGGACAGCTGGCAGTGAAATATTTAAGTGTTGCTATGCGATCTTCTGCTTTTTGGGATCCTCTGTGAACGCCCCAGTGAGAGGCCGGGACAGTTTGGTTGTATCTCAAGCTGTTGGTAGATACATATCTCTGAAAGCTAGAACGAGGGCCTGAGTCCTGCTCTGTCAATATCCCTCTCCCAACATGGCTGTCTCAATTCTTCAGGTGCCACTCTTCGATCAGTGGGATGATGTGGTGAAAGGTATGAAAGTGGAAGTGCTGAACAGTGATGCCGTGCTCCCCAGCCGTGTGTACTGGATTGCGTCCGTCATCCAGACCGTAGGTATGTCTCCAATGTAATTCCTGACAGCTGGGGATGGCTAACCTCTGAGGGAAGCTTGGGAGAGCTCAGTGTAGCTGGTCAAGCAAAACATCAGCTCTTAACTGCTCTGCAATTGCTGAGATGTTTTGGAACAGGAAATACCACGGTGTGGGGGTGGGAGGAAATCAGCATCTGGGTCCTGTTCTGGTTGCTGCTGGGCTCTTTGCGACTGCAGTTCTGCCTCCAGAATGGTTGGAGAAGCTCTGATAACCTATGCAGAGCTCCAGAGGTCATGCTGTAGGGAATAAGCCTATGGTGCCCAACGAGGAGAGGGGAAGTTCTTGGCCTCTAATGCCTTTTTTCTGGTTGTCTGCTCTGTCCTGGCAGGGTACAGGGCCCTTCTGCGATATGAGGGCTTCGAGAACGATGCCAGCCATGACTTCTGGTGCAATTTGGGCACAGTGGATATTCACCCCATTGGCTGGTGTGCCATCAACAGTAAAATCCTGGTACCACCACAAAGTGAGTGTGGGGCAAGAGGGGTCAGCATGTTCCTGGGCATGGAGAAGCTTTGGTTTATGCCTAGTGTAGTGGGACACATGCTCCCACTGTATGTGGGACCACAGCTCCGTTTGTGCTCTGAGTTACAAGGAACATTTAGTTCTTTGGGAAGCTGGAGACTGCTTGGACTGCTCCCTCTGCATCTCCCTGTGGTTGGCCTGGGGGTGCTGGATGCAGAGCTGGTATCAGACCTATGGAGAGAGGCTGATGCAGGTGGCCATTCCTCATTCTGACCCACATGGTAGCTACACTTAACCTTTGGGAGAATTTTTTTGTCCTGCACCCTGGATGCTGTTTCTGGGAAGTGCACTGGATCCAGCCCCTGCTACGCTTGCAGTTCAGAGAGGGATGCCAGTTTAGCAGAATTCTGGCAAGCTCAGATCTGCTTGGTATGGCTCACATGATCTGCTTGGTTTTTGCTCTAATACCACTTCTGCATCTAGATCAGTTGAGTTGGGTGTCTGCTTGGACCAGTCTGTTCTGTAATGGTGATCGCTTGCAGGCAGTTGTGAGAGTGAGCTTGCAGAACAGGGTCTGCCTGAGAGCAGGTACAAGATCTTAATGTGAAGAAGGTCCTTTAATGTAGATGGACTCTCAGAGAGGAAGAAAGGTGTTAGTGTGGTGCTGGAATTCCTTCAGTCATAAAGATGTGCTTTTTCCCTGTGCATATGTAGCTATCCATGCCAAGTACACTGACTGGAGAAGTTACCTCATGAAAAAACTGGTGGGAGCCAGGACCATCCCAGTGGATTTCCACATCAAGGTAAATGTGGGAGGCTGTCATTTTATGTGTGGAAATGAAGCCAAAGCTGAGAGATGCGTGTGCAACACATCTCTTCTGGTTCTGATCTGTGCGACTCCTCTGTGTGTCCCCTTTAAACCCAGGCAGGACAGGGGCAGTGAGACACCTGTCACGATCCTGTAGGTAATGGCACACCCCCTGTGGTCAGCACAACCATTTCCCCTTTGGGTCACAGATGGGCTTTAAAAGCTGTTGTCATGTCAACCTTTGCTGGAAAATACTGAGGATGAGTTTGCTTTTTTGCTGAAGGGAGAGGCCTGGCCTTTCCTTGCCCTGTTTCAGCGCTGGGGAATGGCTCTGAGAGTCAAAAACCTTTGCCTTCAGCATTGGCAGCACAGCAGCCTGTGGGGAGTGAGAGGGACGCAGGCTCCTTCGAAGTGCGTGGAAGCACAGCGGCTTTACAGCTCTTGTGGTTGTTTCACGTAGCCTGCACTGAGGATAGACCTTGTTGGGGAGAAGAGGCTCTTTTGTGGCTGGCAACTTTGTAAACCACAGATAAGGAAGACTGTCTCAGAGGCAGCAGGCAAGAAGGGAGATAATGGGTTTTCCTGTGTGTGAGGTAATCGGTGATGCTGAGCTGGAGACCTTGACGTAGTTGGTGTTTCCCTTGTTGCTTCTCAGAAAGTTGAGAGGATGTTCTTAGCTACTTGTTCCTGGGCCACAGCTTGTAGCTGAGAGCTCATGCCATGGAGGGAGTTGGTAGAGGGAGACAGATGTTGTCAGTATCTTTCTTCCCCTAGCATCTCTACTCCCACGTAATGAACAGGAGGTGGAAGGTGAAGACCTTCCCTTAAAAGTTCTTCTGGATTCAAGTGTAGGCTGGTTTGAGTGTCTTGAGTCTGTTTTGAGCAGTGGTTCCTAGTTACTGCACAGCATTCTGGGATCTGCAGTGCCAAAATGTCAGGTGTTGTATAAACACCTTTGGGTATTTGTGGATGAGTAGGGCTAAGCTGTATCAGCAAACTGAAGGTCTCAAAAAAACAGTTAGAAGGCAGGCATTGGCTCTTTTCATGTGCCTTTGGGTCAGTCTGCAGAGTAACTCTGGAGCTGGACGTGGAGTTGGCAGATAGATCATCACGTTGCTCAACCTCTGATCAGAGTAAAAAAGGTGAAAATAAGGGCCTGACCTCTTTTAAAGTCAACTGAAAATTATACTGCCCTTTGGGAAGCTACACCTCTAACTGCTTCTGTCCTTGAAATGCTTATGGTCTCTCTTGTGACTGAAAAAGGCACACAATTCTCCACTCAGTTCCTGGTGAACAGAAGTGACATCTGTTTCTCACAGTCAGAATGTTCACACAAGGTGCTGGCTGGGCAAGGGTGGGGGTAACTATTGTGGGGCCACAGGACAGGGGAGACTTAGGGGGTGTGTGTCCAACCATGCTGTCGTGTGTGGGGCTGGCAACTCTCTGTCCCCGTGATGAACCTTCTCCCGTGCATCCCTTCCCGGAGATGTCTCCCAGTCAGCTTTGGGCAGTGCAGGGGGTTGGCCAGCATGTGTGTGTGGGGAAAGCTGTTCTCTGAAGTGTTTGGGGAAGGAAAACACCAAGTGCAATTGATCTCACCTCCTCTGTTGGTTGTTGCCAGATGGCGGAGAGCATGAAGTACCCATTCCGGCAGGGCATGCGAGTGGAGGTGGTGGATAAGAACCATGTGTCCCAGACACGCATGGCAGTGGTGGACACAGTGATTGGGGGCAGACTGAGACTCCTCTATGAGGATGGCGACAGCGATGATGACTTCTGGTGCCACATGTGGAGTCCCCTCATCCATCCTGTGGGCTGGTCACGGAGAGTGGGCCACAGCATGAAGAAGACAGGTAGGGATCAGGCCACCGCAAGGATCTTCTGATTTGCTATGAACTGCCTGGACCCTGCTGTTGACGCCAGTCTTGACGTGCTGGGAGCCAGGCAGTTGCCTCAGGACCTGACAGATAAGGTCTACACAGTTGTGTGTCTGCTGCTTTTCCCCCTGGATAGATAAAAGCCCAGTGATCTTCTGCCACAGGTCAGGACAGGGGGACTGGAGGGTTTCTTACCTGAAGCAGGTAGTTTACCCCCGTAGCGTGACAATGCAGTCAGCAACATCACCGGTGTGTCTAGTCTTTTTGAGGAAATTCATGCTGGCTTCTGTAAGACTGGATGCTGTCACGTTACAGGGTTTTTTTGGACTTTAGAGAGGCATTCTTGATCAGCTTAGACCGGCAGGAAAAAAAAAAAAAACACTACTCAAGCCCTGCTGATCCTTTTGGTTGTGTCTCCCTTGCTGCCTCTCCCTGGTGATTACAGCTGCATGCAGAGGTGTCATCACTAGTGCTCAGGAAGCTCAGCCATCTGCTTTTGAGCAAGCCCTGCATCACAGCCCATGTTAGGAGAACTAACATGTCCCATGTAGAGGGACTAATGTGTTCTTTTTATTAGTCTTCTCGTGGTCTCTTATCTAGGTCTTTCATAGTATCTGAGCTCTCACCGGGGAATTAATAGCCAGTGTGTTTTCTTACTGCAGTTGCTGCAGATTTCTTACTTCTCTTTGTTTCTTTCATTTCTCACAGAAGAAAAACGCAGTGACATGGCAAACCATCCCACCTTCCGGAAGATTTACTGTGACGCTGTCCCCTATCTGTTTAAGAAGGTAGGACAAATCTGCCTTTCTGTGTTGGCCACAGCAAAGGAAGCAATGATACCACTTCCTTCCTTGGGTATTTATGCTGCTGTGTGGGTTGTTGAGGATGGCTCATTTGTCTCTCTTACAGCTGTAGGGCAGTAAGGTGTTTGGGGTGTCAAGGCTGTGGCTGGGCAGAGGCAGGTCAAAATAGAAAGGCGGAAGAATTAAAAGACAATGACAGATTGAGGTACTCGTTTGAAGGGGGGTGAGCAATTGCTTGGAGCTTTGAGTTGGAGAGGGAAGACAATTGTATGGGAGAGACCAGTTCTGACAAGGAGCTGGATCATACTGGTAAGGACTGAGATGAGAAGGAGGCTTGCTTTGCTGTGGACCAGTGGCTGAGTGCTGGGCCTGGCTTTCTGAGTGACTAGAGCCTTGTCAGGAGGTTGCTGGCAGAAACACAGCATTGGTCTGGGTGCCTCTTTGTATTTCTTGTAATTTTTCTTCTTTCCTCTCCCAAATTGGGTTGAGCCAAAGAAGCTCTAATCCTGTTTGCATTTGGTGTGGTTGGTGTCGGGGTGGGACTGTCCCATACCCCTGACAGCACATGGTATACCAGAGTCTCCCTTAGGTACGAGCTGTCTATGCTGAAGGTGGATGGTTTGAGGAAGGCATGAAACTGGAGGCCATTGACCCCCTGAATCTGGGCAACATTTGTGTGGCAACTGTTTGCAAGGTAAGTTCAGTACACAGAAGGGGGTCTACTGTGTTTACCTGAGATAACCCAGCCTCTCCTCAGGTCTTTGCAAACGAATAAGGGTAGGATTTTGCATGAGGGAGAGGAGAGGGCTGTCAAGAGAGGTAGGCAGCTGGTGAGTGGAGGAAATTGGGGCATTACCTCAGAGGTCTGAGAAGCTGTGAGACCAGCAGTTGTCCATGTGTACCTAAGTGGACAGCATGAAGATGAGCATGCGTGATCTGCAAGCTAACTGTCCAGTGTGTGTGGCTGGCAGCCACCCTTCCTTCACTCTTGGGCATGCAGTAGGGAAGACTTGTTCTCCAGCTTGGAGTGCATAAAGAGGAGCATGTGTATGCTGCCTTGAGGACAGACAGGAGAGGGGAAGAGTTGTGGGGTGACCTCTGTGTGAGGAATGGGGTGTATCTGTATGGGCATAGGAAGCTGAGGACGGATGTGTCTTCTGCAGTCTCTCTTAATGAGGTGGTAGTGAGCTCTACTCCTGTGCTAGCATTGGGAAGTAAATTACTTGGCCAGGTTTCCTCAGTGAGGTGTGTTGCATGTCCTAAAGCCTAGCATCGACTTGGGCTTTTCCTGCTCCCTCAAGAAGCTGTTTGCCCTCATTGAACCCAAACAGAGGTCTTTGACACTTGGGGTTTGGCAGGGGGATGCTAGGAAAGCTCTTTGGGTCTGTAAAATGTTCCCTTCAGCCATTGCTTGGAAATGTGAAGAGGTTGGGGCAGATGTGCCTGTCGCATTTGGTAGGCACCAATTACCAGTGAGTGACAGGATGGGACAAGTTTTGTTGCTGTAGGAAGTGGCAAGTCTGAAGGTTGTGCCCTTCCTTTCTGCCCAGTAACAAATTCATGACCTGGGTGGTGTAGAGGGTCTCTGGGCTGCCAATAAACTCTGTTTCTGAGGGAGAACAGAGCTCCTGACCGTTTATGGCTGAGTCCTTTTCACAAGGCTATTGGTGTTGGTCCCAGTCCTGCAGAAATAGCTGCTTTAGTGATTAGCTTGTGTTGACTAACACACCAGGAGAAGCTACTGCATGCCCTGGAACATATGAAATTGCATTTTACTGTCTAGTGGCAATTGTGATTCATCTGTGGGGACTCTTGGGAGGATCCTCTGAGAGGAAAGGCTTTAAAGTGAGCAAAGCTCTACACTCACACCCTTCACTCACACCTCAGGTCCTCTTGGACGGGTATCTTATGATCAGCATTGATGGAGCCACGTCTGCTGATGGCTCTGACTGGTTCTGCTATCACGCCTCCTCACACGCCATCTTCCCTGTCAACTTCTGTCAGAAGAACAGCATCGATCTGACCCCTCCAAAAGGTGAGACTTGGGCTCTGCCCTGTGATACAAACCTGCATGCAGAATCTGCTGGGCTGTGCTTTTCTGAGAGGTGTCACGTTCAGGTGAATCAAAACCTCAACGTCCCAATCTGCCTGTTTCTCAGGGAGATAGGGCTGGTTCAGAAAGCCAGTCCATTTGAGCTCTGCCCATATACCAAGTCTCAGTACTTCTATGGAAGTAACATCTCCAGAGGGCATTAATGGCATGGTCCTGGCAGATCAGTGTGAGAGGTGTACGATCCCCAAACTGAACAGAATCAAAGGTTTAAAGGACAAGGGGGGTGAGAAGGGATAAGTAGAGCCATTGCTGCATGTGTCATTACTTAAAAGTGGGAGGAGTCACCTCTGTTCTTGTATGAATAAATCTGAGACCAGTATTTCTGCAAAATTCTGAGAGGCAATCACCCTAGGAGTGTTTTCACTGCCTCATCTGGCCATACCCAAAAAGGCCTGCTCTGAATTTCTGTGTTGCAGCATTTTTGTGCATTGCTATTCTGTCTTCCTTTGATGTTCCTGCTGGTGGAAGATTGGTCTTAAAAAAAAAAAAAAAAAAGTGGTATGTTTTGAACATGCTTCTTCCTGCCTGCTGGTTCTCCTTGCCCCTCTCTGTGGTCTGGATATGTGACTGACACAAGGGTTCAGAGTTGCAGCTTGCACTTTTCCGTATTTGCCCGCTGGAGGGGAGTGCTGGACTGCCATGGAATCTGTGCACTAGATTTACATCCCAGATCAGGCTGTGCATGCTGGTTAATGAAACTGCTTTGCAGTCAGTTGCTATACTTCCTTCCTGCCTATTCTGCCTTTTCTTCCAGCTGGTCTGTGCAGTGACTGCCTTTTTCCCGCTGACCATTTCTTCCTGCTGCAGGGCAAGATGCACAGACCTTCAACTGGGAAAGTTACCTGGAAAAGACTAAATCAAGACCTGTTCCAGCACGGCTCTTCAACACAGTGAGTGCTGCCAGGAAGAAGAGATGTGTAGGAGTGCTTGCAGTCAGCAAGGAGGAGCACAAGAGCTCTGGCTGTCACAAAGTGGTTAGCTGGAAGGGAACTCTGGAGATCATCTTGTCCAACATCCCTGCTTAAGCAGGGTCACTTAGAGGCTGTTGCCCAGGACCATGTCTAGTTGGCTTTTAAGTGTCTCCATGGATGGAGACTCTACAACCTCTCTGTGCACTCTGTGCCAGTGCTCAGTCACCCTCACAGTGATAAAGTGCTTTCTGATCTTCAGAGGGAACCTCCGTTGTTTCAGTTTGTGCCCACTGCCTCTGGTCCTGTCCCTGGGCACCTCTGAGAAGAGCCTCACTCCATCTTTGTACCCTCCGTTCAGATATTCACATACATTGATAAGATCCCCCTCAGTCCCAGCTCTCTCAGCCCCTCCTCATATAAAAGATGCTCTAGTCCTCTCATCATCTTTGTTGCCGTTTGCTGAACTCTCTTTAGTATGTCCCTGTCTCTTGTACTGGGGAGCCCAGACCTAGACACAGTACTCCAGGTGTGGCCCCACCAGCACTGCAGAGAGCGGAAGGATCAATCACCTCCCCTGATCTGCTGGGAACATTCCTCCTAATGCAGCCGGGGATACCATTAGCCTTCTTTGTCCCAAGGGCACATTGCTGGCTCATGTTCAACTTGGTGTCCTCCAGGATCCCCAGGCCCTTTTCTGCTGAGCTGCTTTCCAGCCACTCGACCCCCCGCACGTGCTGGTATCTGGGGTTGTGCCTCCCTGGGTGCAGGGCTTTACGTTTCCTTTTGTTGTACTGCATGAGGTTCCTGTCAGACCATTTTTTCAGCTTGTCGGGGTCCTTCTGGATGGCAGCACAACCCTCTGGTATATGAGTCTCTCCTTCCAGTTTTGTATCCAGCAAACTTGCTGAGTTTGATATGACGCTCTGTCGTGTCATCCAGATAATTAATGAAGACGTTAAACAGGATTGGACCCAGTATGACCCCTGGGGTACACTGCTAATTACTGCCCTCCAACTAGACTGATCACCGCCTTCTGGGCCCAGCCACTCAGCCAGTTTTCAGTCCCCCTCACTGTCGCCTCACCCAGTCCATATTTCTGTCAGCTTCTTTATGAAGATCTTACGGGAGACAGTGTCAAAAGCCTTCCTGAAGTCAGGATAGACAATATCTAATGTCTCTACCTGGCTGCTCTTTGCTGCCAGTCAGCACTTCTAAGGAAAGCCCAAGGCACGGAAGTGTGTGCTCTCTGAGTAAAGCCCCCGTTTGGCTGGTCGGGACCAGCAGTGTCATGCCTTTGTGGACATAATGATGTCTTGGTCCCTTTGAGTGTGACCTGTCATTCTCTAGTGTTTCCTGGAGCTCCAGGCTCCTGGTGGGTTCTGCACCGCTTATGGCCTGTGGACGTGTGGCTGGCACTTGGGTGGAGGGCGTCTGCTTTGCATCAGCAAAACTGCTGCAGTACCTGGGCCTGTGCCGATCTTTCTGATTTCACAGGACTATCTCAGGTTAATGGGTTTGACTGGGTGTCCCTTAACTGCTGCCTGCTGCTCTCCTTTGGTCAGGATCTTGTTTCTCAAGGCTGGGCTTAGATTCCCTAAGGACACAGCTGGCCTTGGATCTATGTGTGCGTGCCCCTTCTGTTATGTGACTGGCTGGTTCTGTTGCGCAACTGTGGGCTGTTCTCTGTCTGGTTGCTTCAAGCTGGAGGCAAGCCTGTAGCTGTTCTAGGCTGCTGGTGGCCAGATGTGGGTTTGGACTGGGTGCAATGGCCTTGGGTTTTCTTTTTTCATTTTTTCTGCACCCAGGACTGCCCAAACCACGGCTTCAAGGCGGGCATGAAGGTGGAAGCAGTGGACCTGATGGAGCCCCGGCTCATCTGCGTGGCCACGGTGAAGCGTGTAGTCCACCGTCTCCTTAGCATCCATTTTGATGGCTGGGACAACGAGTATGACCAGTGGGTGGACTGCGAGTCTCCAGACATTTATCCTGTAGGGTGGTGTGAGCTGACAGGCTACCAGCTTCAACCACCTGTTGTTCCAGGTGAGTGAAGGTTTGTCTGTGGTTTCTAATGCTAGAGGCAAAGGTTTCCTTCCTCCTGCTCTGTGAGTGTCTCCTCCTTTTTGGGCCTTGTAGGGAGGAGAAAATTGCCTCCTTGATTTGCACTGGCTACTATAAGTCTTCCTCTGCTGCCACACATTCTAGCAGCTGGCAGAGGGAGGAGTCTGTTTTGGGGAGAAAACAGCCTGAGATCTGAGGTTGGCTCTGTCTTCCCTCTGTTCCCCCAAATGCACACCAACAGAATTGCTCCTAATGAAGTCGCGTAGAGTTCCAGGTGATCCTGTCACTGCACAGCTCCCTTTTTATTAAGTGTACCTACAACCTCAGCCAGGTAGCAGGGGGAGCTTGGCCCCTGCTCCCTTTTCTCATCAATTCTCTGACTCTGTAAAAGGTAAGAGCATCCCTCTCAAGAGTTTATTCCTTCCCTTGTCACAGGGAGGCCACTGCCTCACCTTTGCAGATGTTTTCCTTCTTGTCCCAAGCTGCAAATCTTGTTTCTTTACTCCCCTGCCAAATCTCTACTGGGCCTCTCTCCCCTATGCTGCCCCAGCCTGGAAGCACAGACAGCAACTGCACTAGAGCCTTGCTTTCCCCTCAGCTGGTTGTCTCGGGAAGAGGGTGTTGGCTCGGGGGGACGGGTATATCTTGTTTCTCGCTTATGTCACTTCATCCCAGTTACCTACTGGTTATGGGACTTGGCTTTCGTTTCCCTCTCGTCTCCATGACAGAGCCCACAACTCCAGTGAAGGCCAAGGAGGTGCCCAAGAAGAAGAAGAAACCCTATGGAAAGAAGAGTGAGTGATGTTTGATTAGTGCCCTCCTGCTCGCTCGCAGGCTGGGCCCAGTTAGAGGAACCCTGTCCATGTCCCGTGAGAGCAGGAGAGAGAGAGGCCTTTGTCTTGCTGTGGATGCCCTCAGTCAGCTGTGGGTTTGACAGCACAGCTTCATCCTTCTTAACTGCCCTGGTACCTAAAAGAGCAGAGAGCTGTGTGTGTGGGAAGGATCTGTTTTGCAGTCTGTTTTCTGTTGGCCGAGGTATAGATGGCGCTTGCTTCCAGGTGTGAGGTTGTGCTGCTTTCCTCACTGTGTCCGTGGTCGGAGGGAGATGGTTTGCTGCAGCGGGAGGGTAGCTGGAGAGCAACCCTGCCCGCTTTGTGCTGCGGGAAAGAAGGCCTTAAGATGGCTGAAGAGACCAGTAGTGGGGCTGGACTGTTTACTCTTTCATCTTGTCGTTGTTGTCGTTGTTGCAATAACTGTGGCAAATCATGTGTAGACAGGCAAGAAATTCTTTCCTGGGGGGGGGAGAGGAAGAGACATCTAAAGAATATAAAGATGTTCAACCTAAATTAAAATGTCAGCTAAACATGAAAACGTTAATGCTACAGTGTCCATTGCCTTGGAGCCAACAGGCCCATTGCCTAGGACTAGACCCAGGTAAGCAAAGCTGACTCCAGACTGATTCCAACAGGACTCGCTCCTCAGAAGTTAAGCACATGCTGAAGTGCCTTGCCTTTAATGAAGGAGACCGCAGAGGAGCGTATTTTGAGATGATGACTATAGAGTTTTTCTCCAGTAGGCCATTTCTGTCGAGTAACGAGTTGGCAGCTAATGACCGCATAGCTTGCTGGTCAGTTGTGCTGGTCCCTGACCTGTGGTTTCTCAGTGGAGCAGGGTTGCTGATTTTCCAGGGGAGAAGAAACACACTTTTCCCCATGCTCTGTTATTTCTTTGTTAAGGAAAAAAGTTACCTGCCAAAACCCGCAACATCAAGCAGACTCTCAAGAAGCCTTCCACCCCGAAGACAAAACGAGAAGCAAAAGCTGCCAGCAAGGCTTTGCCGGAGCCAGCACCTGAAGAAAGTGAGTGAGTTACTCTGCCCAGCAGCCACAGGCCCTGCATGTCACCAGCCCTCCAGAGGCTTCTGCTGCCTCATGGCCATTAAGGCAGGGAAAGGCAGTACATGACAAATGTCCTTCCCCACTCCGCCAGAGACAGAGTGGAAGAAAGCCTTTGCCGGCTTTCCCTGGGAAGTTTTGCCTCCTAAGGAGGTTTGGTGACACCAGTATAGCTGGGTATGTTGATACTGCTGATGGCCTGCTACCCTACCGAGCAGTCTGGTTGTATGAGGTCATTTAGGGAGGAGAGTCAAGACAGACACGTCAAAAGTGTGCCGCCACATCCCAGGCCCCATAAGGGCAGTCACAGCATGTGAACGCAGCCTGTTGTGCTGAGCACCAAGAGATTTGGTGATCAGAAGAGCAGCTGGGTTGCCTGCCAGCCCTAGTGGATGTTGGGGAAAAAGGGTGGATGAAGTGGTTTCATGGGAATGGAGCCTCATGAAGGTCTCCATTGCTTATAGATCTTTAATTTGCCCTGTGTGGATCCAAGCAGGTGGAGAATAGACCATACTGGCTTTTCCCTCCCTCAGCCCTAGGAGTTGTTCTTGGGAGCAGGCAGCTGAGTGCTGCCGGGGTTTAGTCCCGTCGTGATTGCTGCTCTGACCATGGACAGATTTGTGCCGGCAAGACAGGGCTGCCTGTGGTAAGGGACCCTCAAGAAGTGGGCTGGAAACCTGGGCCATTCCGAGCATCCGCATGAACAGATGGTTCTAGGGTGCTGCAGGTAGAGTGAGGCAGCGTGGGTTGATTTTACTTATTTATTTTTCTCTCTCTCTCTTTCTGTCTCTCACTAGTCATTGCTGTGCGGGTGAAAGAAGAAACCATCGACCCCTCAATAGCAGAATTTGGAGCCACAGAGCTTCCTGTTCCCATCAGCAGCATAAAGCAGGAGGTCGCAGACTGATCCTGGAGTGTCCCCCAGCTGCCCACAGCAGCCTGCGCTTCACCTTGTGACTCTGTGGGGAAAGTCCTGGCAAAGGGAAGTGGAAGACCAAAAGGGCCTTCCCTTTTTGAGGCAGACCACCCTGCAACATCACGACTCTGCTTTCCTGGTGTGCAAGAAAATTTTCCCCAGACTTGTAATTTTAAGCCATGGGAAAGAGACTCCACAAAGGCCGCAGGTGCGCTGAGGAGCACGACCAGGATGCCTGCTGGGGTTGTGCGTGCCTGGCTTTGAAGGTGCCTTTCCAAGCAGGAGCTCCCAGTGGGGAAGGAGGCTGCCAGAGCACGAAGGGGTGGTTTGGGTTCTCAGCCGTGGCTGGAGCTGGCGAGCTGCAATCTGAGATGATGTGTGCAGGTCACGCGTGTCAGGAAATCACCTGCCCTCGTAGGACGTTGGTGCTGTGCTCCCTGGTTTAGGCCCTGCAACCCGCAAGAAAGTCAGGACAGGAAGAGTGGAAAGAGGTGGGGAAAAAAAAAAAAGCAAACCGCAAAAGGGATGGATGATGATGCCTCTTATGGGAGCAAGAGACCTTTTTGAGTGTCGTCAATTCTTGCTTTTGGAGCCGAACTGCAGAGGACACGGTATACAGTTTGAATTTTTAATTTTTTAGCAATCCTACTGTAAATTTTGATCTACAATCTGTACCCTAAAGCCCTGTGAATTAAACTTGAGGAAGAGACCAAAGGCTTGTGTATTGTTTTCTGGGGTTAGCCAAGATGGGAAGGAGAAAAGGGCTGTGAGGGGGTAAACAGCATTTTGTGTTATCATAAGAATGCAATAGATAACTTAAGGCAGAGAATGCCATTTCCCGTTTTAGGGTAAAATGGTAATGTTTCTCTCTCTCCCCAGACTGGCCATCAAAGTTCAGGACAGAAATCAGAAAGGTCAGTGTGGCAACAGGGATGAAAACCAGTTTTAAATCTCCCGTAGCAGCTTCCTGTGAACGAACTGCCTGTTGGTGCCACCGCGGGGCCCAGCCGGCTCTAGGGCAAGTGCCTTGTCAAAGCCTACAGGGAAATGGTGGCTGCCCAGGGCACTGCCTTGGCCACAAAATGGCTGGCTTGGCCGTGCTCCCCGCAAGTCTCCAGGTGAGAGTTTGTGATGCCAAAATAGCTCCTGCTTTGCGCAGTAGTTCATGACAAAAAAAAAAAAGTTGGCAGGCTTACAGTCTAGAAAACACGGGGAAGAGACTGGGAGTAATTAACACAGTCTTCCTCTTTTGCCTTCTAAAAAGGCAAACAGAGCCTTTAACTGGAGAGGGAAGCGGGGGAGCAATGAGACAGAAATGGAAAAAGTGTTGAGGGTCTGTGTCAAACCAGGCGCGAGAGCTGCGCCGCCTCGGCCCATCCCACAATGGCGGGGGCGGGGGGACAGGGGGGAGGATTTTTATCGAAGGCACATAGTGAGGCTTCCCTGCACACCTGTCCGTGCCTGCTCGCCTGTCCTGGCAGCTCTGCCTGTCACCGCATTGCAATCGATGCCTTAATGCAGGAGGATCCTGTTTCGGGGCAAAGCTGTTGCTTTTCTCTCTTCCCCTCCCTCTTGGGCTGCCACCTTTCCCCAGCCTTGCCAAACAGCAGGGCTTGCACTGAGGCAGAGAATTTCCAAATGCCTTTGGCTTTCTTCCTCCTGTTTTTTGCTGTAACAGTTCTGTGCCCCACATGGTTGTTTAAGGCTACAAGTGTTTATTTTTAAAGCCTTCTCAATTTAAACAAACTGCTAACTTTAAAATGGGGGGTGGGACGATGTCCCAACCTGGGCTGCTATGGGGAATAGGTTGGGCACATCTTTTATGATTGGATCCCAGTCCACCGATTGAACCACTGATCAAATTTTACAGGAAATAAAAACATTTTCATCTGCTTATGTTTTAATTCTGAAGAGCTCCTGGGAATTCAGGCGCTGTTTTCACTAATGATAATTTTTATGGTTTCTGCTTGAGCCAGTGCAGGGTCTTGCATTGGTGCTGTTTGCAGTCCCACTCAGGGCTTCTTTCTGAAGCTGTGAAAGCACAGCACTCTTAAAAACAAAAACAAACTTGTGGATTCCAGCTTTTCCGCACGGCTGGAGAGAGCCTTGGGAAGAAAAAGCGAGTATTTGGCTTTGTTCGAGTTATCAAAGCACGTTGCAAACACTACAGAAGTTTTTTGCACCAGTTCTTTCCAGGGTAATGTGCTGCTGTGTCCTGCAAAACCAAACCCTGCATCTTTGGCAAATCTGCATCGCTCTGGTGGCACCAGGCTCTCACCCTTGCACCTCGTGCAATGTCCGTGTTGCCACGGTGGGGACAAGCCTAGAAAAACTGCTCTCGCCAGACTGTAGATACGGCCCTGTTGCGTCCTGCACACTGTTCCTAAGCTCTGCTCTTCTTGAAGCCTCTGTTTGGTGATTTTCCTGATCTCTTTTTCTTGCGGAGCTTGCTTGCAGTGGTGGCCTTGTCCGGACTGGCTCCCCCAGCCTCGCCTTGGCCCCAGCCAGAGCAGGTTTGGAAAGTAGTGGAAAGCTTCACCTTCACCCCCCGGGCTTCTGCAGGGGACCCGCAGGTGGCTCCTACGCGGAGGTTGAGTTTGTCGATCCACCTGGGAACGTGGGAGGAGATCAGGGAAAGGAGCAGGACAGGGCAAAGGGAGAGGTGATGCTCCTTGTCTGTGAGTGGGTCACTTCAAAGCCAGGCCAGGTGGCCCAAGGCCTCACCTAGATGAGCTTTGAATATCTGAATATCTGCCTGCCCCAGCTTGCAGCTGCTTCCCCTGTACCAGAAAAGCCCAGACTATGTCCATCCTTGCACGTAGGTGCATGCTCCATCTCACCGCTGTGAGGAGAAGACCCAAAATTTTGGTGGGTGTACTGTGGGCTCCTGCCTCTGGTGTGGCAGGGTCTGGCTGTCCCCCCGATTGTCCCCCAAGGCTGTGCCCCCTCTTGCAGCACTCACCTGCGCAGGGGAAGGAGCTGGCAGTCGCAGTGGAAAGGCACATCCCTCAGGTTGAGGATCTCCAGCCCTGTGAAGTTGCTCATGTCGGGGATGTTGCTCATTTTGTTGCTCTCCAGGTAGAGGCTTCTGATCTTGGGACCGAGGCCAGCGAAGGCACCGGGAGAAATCTGCAACGAAGCGAGGGTGACTCAGGGGGCGTCCTGATGGAGGCAGGGGAGCAAATCTCTGCCCTGCACTGCTAATCAGCTGGGGGGCGGGCTGAGACAGCCTGTCCTGAACCTGGCGGTCCTGTGAAAGAGCTTGGGGACTGTTCATTAACTCAACCAGACTGCTTGGGAACTGTTCATTAACTCAACCAGTTTTGATCACATTTTGGGACTCACTAGACCCTACTCAGTCTTCCTGGAAAGAAGGTGACACGCAGGAGGTCTTAGAGCGATCCCTGGGTGCTGTTAAAGGCAGATGGTCCTTATGAGAGTGGTGGTTACACTGCTTTCTTTAGAGGATGGAGGATTTCAGGGTAGTGGTGGTGAAAAGTCCCACAGGACAGCTCGTAGTAAGAGCAGGAGAAGTATGGCCAGGGCCGGGGAAAGGGGGAACGGCCTGGATCCCACTGAAACTGGGTGTCTTTAAGGACCGAAGAGAGCGAGGCTGTCCTTGGGAAGCTGGGGGACAGGTTGGAGCAAGAGGTTGGAAACCTCTCCTTCTGGACAGGCTATGGAGCATCTCCTGAAGCCTTGGGAGTTGGGGGACATCCGTTCAGATGCCCCTATAGGGGCCACCAGCCCTGGGTGCTGGAACAAGATGGGACTTATGGCTGTGCCCTGCAGCGCCCCAACCCCTCGAGGGTCCCCAATCACACACACCCGCTCCAGGCGCATGTTGTCCAGGTAGAGGTGCTGCAGGCTGGAGGCCACCGGCAGGAAGGCACTGTCCCCCACGTGCTTGATGGGGTTTCGGGACAGCTTCAGCTCGCTCAGGGAGGGCAGGCCGCGCAGGGCTGCTGTGGGCACCTCTGCCAGGCAGTTTCGTTCCAGGTGCAGCTTCTCCAGCATCTTGGCGGGAGCCAGGGTGGCGGGGGCGATACGCCCAATGGCGTTCCCAGCGAGGTAGAGCCAGCGCAGCCCCCCCATCCCAGCCAGGTCACCCTCCGCCAGCTCCCC